ATGTGAATGAAACTTGTAATGTTTAATTAAATGACAAATTTAATATATTAGATTCTCTTAGATGCCAAAAACGTTTGAACGTAGCTAGAACATTTAAAAAATAGATTTGCCAACATCTGAGAGCCTAAGGGCCAGGTCCTTTTCTGCTTGAGATGTATGATATTATCGGTATTCAAAACAATGACTTAAGATAGGTCTTCTGATTATTTTCTTGAAACTCAGACACAGGGGAACCAAGCAACCTGTTCATGGTCACACAGGCAGTGATTGGCAGAGCTGGGATTGGAATCTAGGCTCTCATGCCACCTGCCCCTTTATCATTATGGTGACCACAAAATAGATTATAACAGTTTCATTAAAACTGGTTAGAGAAATGCTAATATTATGACTTTAAAATTAGTTTCTTCATTACTTCTAAACTTTTTTTTTAAAAACCCTAGTGGGAAACAGTTTATTATATATATTCCCAGAGTTGCCATAATATTATCAGGAAATACATTCATGCTTTCTTTGGATTTCAGTCATTTTTATGACCTGGAAAAAAACCCACAAAACTATCTCAGACCACAAATATTGGTGGGAGATGGATTCTGGAAGGAAACTGGACCTCCTTTCACAATCCTGTGAAACCTCAGTCAATCATTAGGCTGACCCCCACTTGCCACAACTAGAGAGAAAGCCCATGCACAGAAATGAAGACCCAACACAGCCATAAATAAATAAATAAATACATTGTGTATTATTTAAAAAAAAAAAAAAAAAAAAAAAAATCATTAGGCTGAGTGTCCTTTTATACCGAAGACTAGCAAAAGCTGCTTATGGTGTCTTCAACTTCACAGAGACTGCACTTAAAAGTTTAGTTTTGGAAATGTAGAACACATGTCCATGGTTGAAAATTCAGAAGATGCAAAAGTGTACGTGGAGAAAGGTAAGCCTCAGTCATCCAGCCTCTACTCAAATTTTATCTTTGTCTATATGTATATATTTTATATGTACATATATGGATGAATTATAATGTGTGGCAGGATATTTCGTACATTGTTCTATACCTTTGTTTTTTATTTTGAACTAATTTTAGACTTACAAAAGCATTGCGAAAGTAGTACTGTGCCAATATACTTTTCCCTCAACTTCCACTTATGTTACCATCGTATGTAACCATAGGACATATTTGAAAACTACAAAATCGTTTGGATTGTAACGGGTTTTCCAGTAACGTCGTTTTTCTGTTCGAGGATCCAGTTCTGGGTGTCCTCATATTTAGTCATCGTGTCTCCTTAGTTTCTTCCCACCTTTGATGGTTCTCCAGTCTTTCCTTCTCTTTTGTGACCTTGACTTTGGTGAATCATTTTGCAGAGTATCCCTCAGTTGGGACTTGTCTGATGCGTTTTCATGATTAGATGGCAATGCAGCATTGAGAAGGAGGCCACAGTGATGTGATCATGTGTCCTCATTACGTCATATCAGGGGATGCAGGCCATCCGTCTGAGCTGCTGGTGGTGATCGTAACCTTGACCGCTTGGCTAAGTAATCATTTGCCTTGATTCTCCACTGTATGCTTACTATTTTCCCCCTTGTAATTATTAAATGGTTTGGAAGAGATAGAGTTCTTCCACGTTGGATCCTTCAGTGTGTCCTTTCAAACATATATATCCTTTAAAAATCTGTGAGCACTTCCTTACTTTTTGGTACCACAAGATGCTAAAATATCCAAATACATGTTTATATATGCATATTTTATTTACACATATGTATATCTATTTTAATAGGTGGCAACATATTTCACACATTGGTCTGTTTATTTTAAACCTAATTTTGTCTTGGAGATTATTCCATATCAGTACATATACAAATAAACCATTTAAAAATGCTAACTAATATTCCAGTTTATAGATGTTGTACGGCCTATTTTACTGGTCTTCGTGGATGGGCATTTAAGCAACTTTTAATTCTTTTTTTTAAAGGTCGCAGGCATTTGTTTACTTTAATTTTTTTTTAACTTATTATTTTTTTGGCCGCATTGGGTTTTTGTTGCTGCGTGTGAACTTTCTCTAGTTGTGGCCAGTGGGGACTACCCTTCGCGTTGCAGTGCGTGGCTTCACTTGTTGCGGAGCACGGGCTCTAGGCATGTGGCTTTCAGTAGTTGCGGCGTGTAGCTTAGTAGTTGTGGCTTGTGGGCTCTAGAGTGCAGGCTCAGTAGTTGTGATGCCCGGGCTTAGTTGCTCCACGGCATGTGGGATCTTCCTGGACCAGGGATTGAACCCGTGTTCCCTGCATTGGCAGGCGTATTCTTAACCACTGTGCCACTAAGGAAGTCACAACTTTTAATCTTTTGCTACGATAAGCAATGTATGTGAGAGGATATTTGTAAGATGAATTCCTTCTTAGCAAAGTGTTTGTTTGCTTTTTTTTTTATTCTTGGTCATTCCTGGAAATATCACAATTTTTTAAAATTGTGAAATGTAATACACAAGTAGGAAAGTGCACAAAACATGAATGTAGAGGTCAGTAAATATCACAATATGATTATCCATGTAATAACCATCGAGGTTTAAAAAAAAAATGCTATTGTCCACAGGCACCCGGGGTCCCCCTTGTGCCCTTCCCAGTTGCTCCTTCCTTAACAAAAGTTCTCTTATGGTAATCACTTCCTTGTTTTTGTTTGTATTTATCATCTAAGCATTCATTCCTAAACATTATGTGTACGTTTTACTTCATTTATGAAAAAGTAGAAAAATACATATTGTGTGATTAGATGTCCAACATTATTGATTCAGCATTGTTTGTGAGATTTATCCATTTTGTTGCCTGTAGCTATGTTTCATTCATTTTCCTTGTTGTATAGTATTTCATTGTATAAATATATAACACAAGTCATTTATCCATTCTAATATTGATGAACTTCCCCCCCTCCCCAGTTTTTGGCTATTATAATGAAGGCTAGAGTGCATATTCTTTTATATGTGTCTGTGCTTATCAGCTCAGCCTACCATAACAAAATAGCACAGACTGGGTATTTAAACAACAAGTTCATTTTCTCACAATTCTGGAGTCTAGAAGTCCAAGTTCCAAAGTGCCCTTGGCCTGGATGGCTGCTTTGTCTCTGGATCCAAATGGTCTTTCCTTGGATGAGCTGGGGGAGGGGAGAGGACAGTGGAGGGGGATGAAAGTGCTCTGGTGTCTCTTCCTATAAGGATGCCAGATTAGGGCTCCACCATTATGACTCCACTTATCTCTAGATGCAGTCACATTGAGGGTGGGGCTTCAACATAGGAACCTTTGGGATGGATACAGTTCATTCCAGAACAGTCTCCCAGTACACCCATGAGGTGTTTTGACTTTTGCCTTTAGTATAAAATTAACAGGCATACATTGTTTTATTGTGCTTTGCTTTATTGCACTTCGAAGATACTGTGTTTCTTTACAAACTGAAGGTTTGGGGCAACACTGCATTGTCGGGTGATGATTAGCATTTTTTAGCAAGAAAGTATTTTTAAATTAAGGTATGTACATTTTTTTAGACATTGCTAGTGCACATTTTCAGACTATAGTGAAGTATAAACAGAACTTTTACATGCACTGGGAAACCAAAAACAAAAAATTTGTGTGACTTGATTTATGGTGGTATTTGCTTTAGTACAGTGGTCTGGAACCGAGCTCACAATAGTTCTGAGGTCTACTTGTACCTAGAATTTAATAGAAAATTTTATTGTTTTAATTATAGATTCTCATGCACTTTTAAGAGTAACACAGAAAGGTTCTTTGTACAGTTTTCCCCAGGCTTGCAGGGATAGGAAGCCCCAATTACCCATGTGGGTCACTTGGACAGGGCATGTCACCTTCCCCTCTTTGCTCCACTACCCTATGTTCTACCTGCTGGTGACAGAGCACCTCATAAATGCCATTGCAGTGGGTATAGACAGCTTCCTGGAGGAAGGCATGTCATCTCGTAGGCTGTCATCTCTGAGCTGGCACTTGGGCTGTGATCATGCTGTCACTGTGTGTGCCTGGCAGCTCCCTGGTGCTGTAGCATCTGATGGGACTGGAGATCCCTGGCCATGTGTCCCTTCTGCACCTCCTGTGCTATAAAGTGGGTCCCTGAGTCTGAGGTGATATTATGTGGGATCCTGTATTGGTGATGCTGGCCGAGGTCCCGTGGACAAACTCGTATACGGAAAACATGTTTCTTCCTGTCAAAATTACTTGCTGCCCCTTTCAGAGGAGAGGGGGGTCCAAGGTACTCAGCTTTCCCCTAAGTGACTGGGTGGTCTTCTAGGGCACGGCGCCGTAGTGGGGTCCTAGTTGTGCTCTGCTGCTGGCAGGACTGGTGCTCAGCAGTGTCAGGCGCTAGCCCAGCCTGGGTGACTGAGAGCCGAGGCCACGGGTCCACACACAGGATCCCTCCCTTCACTGTGGCTGATGCCTTCACCTGCCCGCGGTGCATGGTGCACGCTCTGGTGGCCAATGACAGAGACCGGCCAACATCGGCTCCCAAGTCGGTTAGTCTACCTGGCCTGGTGGGTGGTTAACTCACACCAGAAAAACACTCGGACCTCATGCCTACACCTGAAAGGATCCAAACACCTGCTCTACCCAAACCTCCTAGTTTCTTGTTGCCCTTTGGTGGTGGGATGGACTCTCTTGCAGTTAATAGGGAGTATGTTGCCACTGTGCATGAGGCTGTATGTGTTTTAACTTTGGGTACCTCTCCACACAGCGGATGACCAGGGGCACCATCTGAAGCCCTTCCCATGGGGGGATTCCCCCCCCCCACTGTCTTTCCCAGCCACCCCCATGCAGCCAGAGGTGTGAGCTGAGGGCAGGGCTGGTGCAGCAGTGGTGGGTGATGGGGTCTCTTCATGCAGCTCCTTGTGCCCTCAGGTCCTGCTTTGGTGATGCCCCGGCATCTCATGACGGACTGCTGCTTGGCCCACCTGATCTAGCGACTTGGTGGTTCTGACAGGACCCAGCTCAGGGATTCTGGATGTGGCTGCACGGTCATGTGGTGCCCTATGGCCATTGCCAGGGCCAGCGTGGCAGGGGTGCTTTTCCAAAGGTGTGTGAATCTCCATTGCAGACGACTGTGGCCTTCCTCCAGGGCCTCAGGGTCTGCATTACGACTCTCCCATGGGGGTTTGCTGTAAATTCCACATGGCATTATTTTCCCACCACGGATACCCCTCAGACTATAGGATGTGCAGGATCACTTAGCCCAAAAGACAGGGCTTGCCGTCGGCACAGCCTGGACCCGCCAGTGTCCTTTTCTGCTCCCAAGTCCACTAAAGCCTGTTAGAGATGCAAGTTCTCTGAACGCACCCCAGACCTACTGAAGTCTGGGGGTCAGGTGCATTCATCTGAGTTTTAACCTTCTTGGGGTCCAGCTCTGGTGTTGGGGTCATGCCAGCCTCAAGTATGAACATTCCAATCATACGCTGGGAAATGGGAGCTGGGAGATGACCACCAAGTGGGTATGGGTCCAGTGGACCCCAGTGGGCCAGGACTCCACTTATCACCTGACTGCCACAGGTCGCACTCCAGCAGGGGGCCACGATGATGCCCTAAGCCCATAAGAATCCACGTCAACTAGGACCTTGTGTCCAGTTGCCTACGATGCTTGGGTATTCTCTTTTTCCAGTGTACATTACCTGCGTAAGTGACTCTAGGTTCCTGGATGTGGAGGACTCCGGAATCATTACCATGTACAGTTGCCACAATACTGCCAGCTCCTTCCTCCTGCAGGTCACTAAGTTTCAGGTTTGGAAACTGGCTTCCGTCTGGAGGCTGGGCAACAGCAGAACTTTTTACTGTGGCTGCTGCCCTCAGCCTCCTGACCATCCAGCTTGATTTTTTATGTACAGACTAAATAGTACCTCTATTGGCTACCCAGATATTTTTCCCTAGAGATGCCATGTTCCATTAACCCCTGTGAGACTGACTCTTGCACCTGGCCACTCACGATTGCATCTTCCTGGCTTTGGAGGGTTCAGTGGCATCACTGGGTCTCTTGTTTGGAGAAGGGTGGTCATCACCCCGACTGCTCTCAGAGACCATAGTTTAGCATGCAACCTGTGCCACTGTAGTGATAGTTAGCACCTCCATCACATTACACAATTATCCTTTTTTCTCTTTTTTTTTTTTTGGCTGAGCCATACGGCTCGTGGAATCTCTGTTCCCGGATCAGGGATTGAACCCGGGCCACTCCTAATCCTTTCTTTTTACCAATCCTTTCTTTTAGTTATTTATTTTTCTTTTGCGGTACACGGGCCCCTCACTGTTGTGGCCTCTCCCGTTGCGGAGCACAGGCTCCGTACGCACAGGCTCAGCGGCCATGGCTCACGGGCCCAGCCGCCCCCGTGGCACGTGGGATCTTCCCGGACCGGGACACGAACCCAGGTCCCCTGCATCGGCAGGCGGACTCCCAACCACTGCGCCACCAGGGAAGCCCGGGAAGCAGATTTTGAGATGGTAATATGTGCAGATGCTCCTTAGGGAGCGCTCTTGGGTCCGGCAGGTGCGGAGGGGAAAGGAGGGAAGCGGACCCGGCAGAGGGGGACGTGGGCCTCAGACGCAGGACAGGTGCCAGGACAGGTGTTAGGCGGCCCCCAGCCTTCCACCTCCACCTGGTCAGGCGTCCGGATGTGGGAAACCACGCGGGGAGGGGACGGGGACGCCTGGGGGGCGGGGGCCGCAGGAGGGGGACACCGTGGGAGGGGAGGATGCACGCAGGGCTCCTCTGTTCAGCTGAGGTCTGGCCTGGGTGCCGACAGGCGAGGCCTTTGTGCCTCTCCCTCTCCCGCAGCCGGGGGCGTTCTGGAAGGCCCGGTGGGCCGA